ATTTCCTGGATGACCCCAATTATTTAGTATCTCCGAGATGGGACCTTATCCAACGACAAGATCGAGGCAAGAACTATGCGGACTAGAGCTGTTCGTTACATACTTATAGGAGATCAATTGTACAAGCGAGGGTTTAGCGCCCCTCTCCTCCGATGTGTAACTGATGAGGAAGCAGACTATATCATGAGGGAGATATATGAAGAGATCTGTGGCAACCACACCGCTGCACGATCCCTCGCTAACAAAGTAGTTCGTCAAAGGTACTACTGGCCCCTACTTCAAGAGGATACCTTCAACTTTGTAAAAAAGTGTGACAAATGTCAACGGTTCGCGAACATACCGCGAGCTCCTTCCCGCCAGCTGATAATCATGACCAGCCCCTGGCCATTCTCTGTGTGGGGAATCGATCTTATTAAACCCATGCTAGCTGGAAAGGGAAACTGTCTTCTCAACCTGTATTCTCCTCCTTATGCAATGGAGATAAGCTCAAGTGCAAATCTAATAATTGAGAGAGCACTATTGGTTTGGTTCATGAGCTAGTATATTGGGCTCCAGGTCACTAAATTTCATCCTAGTGATTCATTCCAAGCAGTTCTATTACAAAATGTTTGGTGAGTCATACTAAACACTTATAAAATGTGCGATAACGTGATCAAAGGGGTCAATTTTATTCGCTCCTGATACATGGTTAAGTCTAAGCACTTTAGCCGTTTAGCGATCAGAAACCTTGTATATTAGGATTTTGATATTTTTATGAGGTTTTATGATATTTTTTATGAGCCTTGGACAATTTATTTAACCCTTTGATAATAAACACTTGCAAAACCGCGCGATAATGTTCTACTAGCCTTTCAGTTGCTTTCTTAGTTTGAAGATGGAAAGCAGTACACTAGCTCTACCTCTATCTCTTTGTATACACATTTCCTCTCCAAATCCTCTCAACACGAAGCTCAAATTCTTCAGACTCAACGCCTCAACAAACTCTCAATCCTTTCACTTACACCCCCGCAGCAAACACCGCGCAAAAAGACCCTCTAAGAAACCAAAACCATTCGCCAAGGAAGACGCGTTTCCCTCCTCTTTACCACTCCATTCTAAAAACCCATATGCCATTTACAAGGATATTCAAGGATTTGCTAAGCAAAACAAGCTTAAAGAAGCTCTTGCCATCTTGGACTACGTGGACCAAGAGGGCATCCCCGTTAACCCCACAACTTTCTCTGCTCTTTTAGCCGCTTGCGTTCGAAGAAAAGCTTTGGATTATGGCAAACAAGTTCATGTATACATCAGAATCAATGGGCTTGAGAATAACGAGTTTTTGCGGACTAAACTTGTTCATATGTACACTTCTTGTGGGTCTTTTGAGGATGCGGATAAGGTGTTCGAGGAAAGTTCTAGCAGAAGTGTGTATCCGTGGAATGCGTTGCTTAGAGGCACTGTGATCGCGGGGAAAAAGCGTTATCGTGATGTGCTTGTTAATTATATGAAAATGCGTGAATTGGGGGTGGATTTGAATGTGTATACTTTCTCTTGTGTGATCAAGAGCTTTGCGGGGGCGTCGGCGTTTACTCAAGGTTTAAAGACTCATGCGTTGTTGATCAAGAATGGTTTTGTTGATTATTCGATTCTGAGGACTAGTTTGGTTGATATGTACTTTAAATGTGGCAAAATTAAGCTTGCGAAACGTGTTTTTGAAGAGATTGATGATAGAGATATTGTGATGTGGGGAGCAATGATTTCAGGTTTTGCACATAATAGGTTGCAGAGGGAAGCTTTAGATTATGTTAGGGAGATGATAAGTGAAGGGATATATCCGAATTCAGTTGTGTTGACTATTTTACTTCCTGTGATTGGGGAAGTTTGTGCGAGAAAATTAGGCCGAGAAGTTCATGGTTATGTGCTGAAAAGAAATAAGTTTTTAGAGCATCCGTTTATTCAGTCTGGATTGGTTGATATGTATTGTAAATGCGGAGATATGAATTCCGGAAGACGGGCATTTTATGCAGCGGTTGATAGGAATGCTGTAGTATGGACTGCTTTGATGTCAGGCTATATCTCAAATGGAAGGCTTGAGCAGGCCTTGAGATCGATAGTTTGGATGCAGCAGGAAGGGTTCAGGCCAGATGTCGTAACAGTTGCAACTGTTCTTCCAGTTTGTGCCCAGTTGAGAGCTTTGAAGCAGGGAAAGGAAATTCATGCTTATACTGTTAAGAGTTGGTTTCTGCCGAACGTGTCAATAACTACGTCGTTGATGATAATGTATTCAAAGTGCGGTGTTTTGGAGTATTCTCTCAAATTGTTTGATAGCATGGATGGGAGGAATGTGATCTCATGGACTGCAATAATTGATTCATGCATAGAAAACGGGCGTCCATATGAGGCGCTTACTGTCTTTAGGTCCATGCAGTCATCAAAACACAGGCCAGATTCCGTTGCAATGTCAAGGATGTTGAGTGTCTGTGGTCAACTTAAAGCGCTAAAGCTTGGGAAGGAGATTCATGGACAAGTTTTGAAGAAAGATTTTGAGTCCATTCCTTTTGTTGCCGCAGAAAATATCAACATGTATGGCATGTGTGGATTTATCAACAGTGCAAAGTCGGTGTTTGATTCAGTCCCCGTCAAGGGTGTCATGACATGGACTGCCATTATACAGGCTTGTGGATATAATGACCTATCCCGAGAGGCGCTTAGTCTTTTTAACAAAATGCGATATGGTGGTTTCACGCCAAACCATATCACTTTCAAAGTCCTTTTATCAATCTGCAACCAAGCTGGACTTGCCGCTGAAGCTTGCCAGATCTTTCATATAATGTTTCGCAAGTATAATATTAAGGCATCGGAAGAACATTACTCGATAATGGTTGAACTTCTTAACCGTTTTGGTCGTGTTGAGGATGCTCGGAAATTCAGAGAAATGAGTTCTTTGTTGTCATAACTAAGAGGCAATGGAGACTCCTTATATGGAGTAAATATGTTGTATTAATAAAGGAAATCAAATTGCTAGTAAATTTTATAAAAGTGTGTATGTTCTAGTAAGTATTATTATAGATTTCATAATTTACTCCAAGAAATGAAACTATACTTTTTTTGATTATACAATGAACTTATTATAGTTAAGAAAAAAAATTAAACACATATATCTATATATATGTTTTAAACTACAAGTTTATTCTTTAAATAGGATTGTAAAATAAACTTCTTTCCTAGGCGTGCATTTTCTAGGTTCTCAATGGCCAAGGGATACTTAAGAAATACCCGGCTAGGGAGGGGTTTTACAGCCACGTTGCACAGTGACGAAAGAGGTATGGTTCTTGTTAGTGTAGAAGGTGAACGCCAGGCTTGCGAGTGGCTAGGGATCATCCACCTACCCAAGCCCTACTCAATTTGAGGATATTTCTCGTGCAGATAACCAATGGGATGCAAGGAAGGACTTGCACGACACCTACCCACTTGTAGACTCGTAATCATTACCTTGAATTCTCCCACTATGTAAGAGCAGTACAGATGACGTGCAAGGGAAAAGGAACTCCAATCTGCATCCCTGAGCAGGCAATGGCGATCAGCAGGATCAAGCCACAGCCTGGCCCAACTAAGGATAACATGGATCCTCGCATCCAGGAATGCCCTTGTAGTGGGCCAGTTGAGGACCTATCTGAGGTATCAGTAAATCAAAGCGAGCCAAGCCGAGTAATAAGAATCGAAACTAATCTCAACCCCCAGCTCGCCAACGACCTGACCTGCTTCCTTAGGGAAAATGTCGATGTATTTGCATGGACTCATGTTGACATGGTCGGGATCAGCCCGAACATTATTTGTCATGCCCTGAATATTGATAGTGAGGTCGGGCTGGTTCACCAGAAGAGAAAAGCAATATGTTGCCTTGAAAGTTGAGTTAGATAATCTCCTCCTAAACGGATCCATCCTGGAGGCATTCTACTCGAGCTGGGTTGCCAACCCGGTCTTGGTAAAGAAGCCTAACGGCAAATGGCGGACCTGCGTTGACTTTACTGACCTTAACAAAGCCTGTCGGAAGGACAGCTTTCCCTTACCAATAATTGACCAGCTCATTGATGCCACCTCCGGGCACGAGCTGCTAAGTTTTATGGACGCCTACTCGAGATACAATCAGACCCCAATGTACACGTCGGATGAAGAGCATACCTCTTTTGTCACAGATCAGGGGTTGTATTGCTATAAGGTTATTCCTTTTGGCCCAAAGAACGTTGGGGCGATGTACTAGCGACTAGTTATCCAAATGTTTTCCGAGCAGATCAGAAAATCAATGGAAGTCTATGTTGATGACATGCTGGTAAAATCGCATGTTGCTTCAAATCACATAGCACATCTCGCTGAGATGTTCAGCATACTCCAAGGCTTCAGAATGAAGCTCAATCCTCTGAAGTGTTCGTTCGGGGTATCCTCGGGAAAATTTCTAGGGTACATGGTTAACCAGAGGAGAATAGAAATCAACCCCGAAAAGATCAAAGCTCTCCTTGATATGAGAAGCCCAACCAACCGAAAACAGGTTCAGAGTCTCAATGGGCGAATAACGACTCTTAGTCGCTTCATATCAAGGGCTACAGATTGTTGCTTGCCATTTTTTAATATACTCAAGGCCAACAGGAAGTTCAAATGGACTCCCGAATGCGAATAGGTTTTCCAGAGCATTAAAGAGCACCTCGGAAAGCCACCTCTTCTGTCCAAGCCTCTCCCTCAAGAAAGTCTTCTTCTGTATTTGTCCGTCTCTCAGCATGTAGTCAGTACAGCTCTAATTCGGGAAGAAGGGAGGGTCTAATGGCTGGTATATTATGTGAGTAGACGTTTGTTGGATGTTGAAATGCAATATCCAAAAATGGAGCGATTAGCTTATGCCCTGCTGATCGCCTCCAAGAAGTTGCAACCTTATTTCCATGCCCACACAATCCATGTATTGACCAACAACCCGCTCAAGCAAAGTCCTCTAGAAATCAGAGGCTTTGGGCAAGTTGCTCAAGTGGGCGATGGAACTGAGTCAGTTCGATCTACAATATAGACCGAAAGCGGCCATTAAAGGGCAAGTTGTTGCCGATTTCATTTTGGAGTTCTCATACCAACCGGTTAAGGATCCCAAGCAACAGGCCAGCGAAGTCACCCAGGAAACCATTCAGAATCTATCTACCTGGAGCCTCTATGTCGACGGATACTTGAACAGGAAAATGGTCGGGGCAAGCCTTCTCTTCCTCAGTCCCAAAGGGACTCGCATCCACAGTATCCTTCGGTTTGGGTTCAAGGCGACCAACAACGAAGTAGAGTATGAAGCATTGCTCGCTAGTCTGCGGTTGGCAAAAGAAATGGGGTCAACCGCAATTAACATTCACAGCGACTCCATGCTAGTTGTTAACTAGATCTTGGGGGAATATCAAGCTAAGGAAGAAAACATGATCAATTATCTAAAGAAGGCTAAGACCACGCTCGAGCCATTCAAGCATTTCGTGATCACGCAGATTCTTAGAGACAGTAATTCTGTCGCGGGTGCCTTGGTAAAAATAGCCTCGTCGCTAGACTCAGACATACCAAAAAGTATTCATGTTCGGTTCATAGAGATCCTTAGTATCAGTTCGCCCAAACAGGCCATGAATGTGACAAAATCAGTTTCCTGGATGACCCCAATTATCTAGTATCTCTGAGATCGGACCTTGCCCAACGACAAGGTTGAGGCAAGAACCTTGCGGACTAGAGCTGCTCGTTACACACTCATAGGAGATCAATTGTACAAGCGAGGGTTTAGCACCCCTCTCCTCCGATGTGTAACCGATGAGGAAACTATATCATGAGGGAGATACATTAAGGGATCTGCAGTAACCACACTACTGTGCGATCCCTTGCAAACAAAGTTGTTCGTCAAAGGTACTACTGGCCCCTACTCCAAGAAGATACCTTCAACTTTGTAAAAAAGTCTGACAAATGCCAACAGTTCACAAACATACCGCGAGCTCCTTCCCACCAACTGACAACCATAACCAGCCCCTGGCCGTTTTCTATATGGGTAATTGATCTTATTAGACCCATGCCAGCTGGAAAGGGAGGGGTCAAGTATGCGGTGGTCTTAGTGGACTACTTCACCGAGTGGGCCGAGGCCGAACCATTGGCCGCAATCACTACCAAAAAACTCAAGGACTTTGTCTTCAAGAACATAGTGTGCCGCTACAAAATTCCTCATACCCTCATCTCTGATAATGGGAAGCAGTTTGATAATGTAGAATTCAAGCAGTTTTACGACGAGCTGGGGATCCATAAAAAGTTCGCCTCAGTCGCAAGACCGCAAGCAAATTGTCAGGTTGAACCTGTCAACAAGACCATTAAGCATACTTTGAAAGCTAAACTTGGCGTTGCCAAGGGAAATTGGGTCGTCGACGACCTCCCAGAACTCTTATGGGCATACAGGATAACTCTGAAGACCTTTATTTCAGAAACACCTTTCTCGCTAGCGTATGGCTGCGAGGTAATGATCCCTATGGAAGTAGGGATTGGCTCACTTCGGAGAGACCTGTTCAATGAAACTAACAATGAAGCGCTCATGCGCGCAAGTCTGGATTTAGTTGAAGAACATCGCGGCAAGGCTCAGCTGAGAATAGCAGCCTACCAGCAGTGCGCAAAAAGATTCTTTGACTCTAAAGTCAGGAGAAGAGACTTTCAAGTTGGTGACCTGGTTCTGAAAGAAGTTCTTCTCGGCATAAGGAAACCAAGTGCGGGAGTATTGGAACCAAAGTGAGAAGGCCCCTACCGCATCGCTAAGGTGATACGCCTAGGGACTTATCACCTCAAAAGGCTCAACAATTCAGAAGTACCAGGAGCTTGGAATGCTGAGCATCTTCGCCCTTATTATCAATAATTCCGAACTCACTCTTTCCTTGAAAAAATTCTCTTGTAAAGCTTTTGTAATTAAGATCCCTGTCAAATAAAATTCATTTGTATAAATGTAATTTTGTTACTCGCATCGTTCTTATCTTTTTGTTCGCATGTGTAATATTTGTGAAGTGTAGAAAATTATAAGTACTCACAAATAATTTAATATCGCAAATAATTGAAGCGCGGCCTCCTGTTCGCATGTGTAATGTTTGTGCAGTACGAAAAATTATAAGTACTCACGAACAATTTAAAAAGAGATCAAATTCATTTCAATCATCAAGTCTGCAGGATTGGAGGCCACGAGCTCGTCAAAAAATTTAGCAAGCTAGCACTCCAAAAGGGTGAACACCACCAATTGAAGGTGCTCCGGAAGCTGACCCACAGAGTCTAGTACCGAGGTGTTAGCTCCTATAGCCAAAGGCACCTCGCTAGATGAGCTCTTGCCTTCTCTTCTCCCAAAGGTCGTGGTCTGTCCTTTACATGAATGGCTTGGGAGAATTGTAACCCTGGTTGCACCCCTCGAGTTCCCTTTGGCGCGAAGAGCTTCATAAGGTTGCAACCTTTCAGGTTGTACACCCAGGACCTCTGGCTTGGACTTTGACTCTTCGGGCTACAGCACCCTTTTTTTCTTTGCCTTCTAGCCCATGGTTTTCTGCTTTGGACGAGTAGCCGCTAGCTGAGCAGATTTGACCGGTTGTTCGGGGGGTGGCTATGCCCCCACCTGCGTTCCTTTAGTGGGGATGTCGTTAGGCCCATCTTTGTTGGTCTTGAGGCGCTGACCCGAGGAAAGACGAACGCTCTCTCTCACAATGACTTCGACACTTGGGCGGCATGTCCGTTGCATACAAGTACTGGTTAGCTAAAGGTTTGCTGCATGCAAAAATAAAATCTAAAGGGACTGCGGACACTTACGTAGTAGAGGTTCCAAGGTCGCTTTAGAGTTGAAGAAGCCGTACTTTCTCAAGTTCACGGTTATCACGAGTCGCTTCACGTCATGATTGTAATCTGGTAGGTTACCGAATGAAACTATTCAGTTGATGTCAGAAAGTTATGTCAGCCTAGTCGACTTGTTCCCTTCGAAGAGACAAGAGGGATTGTTAGAAAACAAAGCCAAGAAGAAAGAAAAAATTCACCAAGTATAATTAAGGGAAAACCTACTCTGCTCCCTAAAACTGCAGATGTCGTCATAATGAAAAAAGAAAAACTTGGTCTCGTATGCCTCAACATTGCTGGGGTAATTGTGAATGCCTCCTTCGACCATGGGTTACCTCGAGAGGTAGTAGGAATCCTTGTCCTTGCTCTTCTTTAAATAGTATGCACAGGCGAGCTCCAACGCAGTCAGTTGGCTGAGCCCGTACTCACCGCACACGATATACATAGCCACAGCTATGATATACGCGTTAGGTGTCAGTTGTAAAGGTGCGACCCCGAAGTGGTCAAGGATCGAGCTGATATAAGGATGGAAGGGAATCAGTGCTCCGTACTTGAATATAGCTTCGGAGATCACAACCATTCCCTCTAGCGGATTCGAAGCTGTATGCCTTCGGTAATGGTAGACGTCCACACTAATTGTGTATTGTTCTACTGCCTCCTGCACTTCGTCTCGGGTGGATACCAATAGAATCTCTTACGCAAGACCCACTGGGGCGTCCTACCTCTGCGAGCTTGTCCCCTCATCTGATCTGGCCGATGTGGGGTCTATATCATCTACGGTCTGAAAAAAAGGGGACATGTGGAGAGTACTCAGTCTTCGTACAATAATTTTGTACGACGACGTGGAAAAGCAAAACCCTAAAAGCCCTTAGGGACCACCCCCAATGGCTTGGCTCCTAAAAACCTACTCCTCACAAAAACTCACCATTATCGACTGGTTAACTACACTTGAAATAGAAAAAAGAAAAGCACTGGAAGGACCTTCCTTACCTTTCTCTTTCGGCTATGGGGATCGAACTTCTCCCTGTAAGCAGAAGATGCGCACCAACTTATAAAATTGGAAGTTTGGTCTCGTGAGAGCTCCTTGCTTTTCTCTGAAAATGTAATTGTTATGACATTACTTAAAAGGAGTCTGGGGTTTTATAGTGGAGGGAATGGCGATTGGGATTTCCGAAGCCGAGCGACGTTTGGACAAAATGCTTTTCTGGCCATTGATCACGACCACGTGTCATGAATCAGTGAGAAAGAGTAACCGCCATGCTTCAAGCAATTCAATCATCGTGTCTTTCCATTGAAATAATCAAGCGACAGCTCGATTCTCTCCTCCACATTAAATGCGCTCCCAATTTCATTTAATGCCCTGATAAGGAATGTCGTTTTAACATGACTTGAATTTAATGCGCATGGCTGGCATTTATTATGTACAGGACACGATTGTCAGAATAAAGGACACCTCATTAATGGACTAGCTATCAAGTGCAATGGATAACATCTGAAGAGGTCGTTGAGACAGAACACTCTTCATCACATGTTAGTTGCGGAGCGATATGATTCCTTCAGATGAGATATACAAGCATAGCTAGGTCGCAGACCTCGGTTAAGATAAGAAGCACATCAATACAGCGTTGAATAGGGTCTAATCCAGGTCGTCAATCTTGTGGAAGAAGACCATATCGGGCCGCCCGTAGGAAAGTGTTTTGTGACCTCATTGTAGTCAGGTCGGATCGACCAGGCTTCATTCGAGACATATCAAATCAAGACATAATTGTGAAGTTCTCAAGGTTTGATTCTCAAACCTTAAAAACTAGGGGACTTCTGTTATGCCTAGAAAAGTAGGGCTCCCGTGTCTTGTAAGCATGGGATGGTCAGAGCTTGGGGAGGTTCTGCGACTGTTCAGGTGCACCCACATCGCATAATGGTGTAAACAGCATGCCCCTGTCAGTGCAGTGGGTGAGCACCAAGTTAGCGGATGGTTAGGAGTCGTCCATGTGTCCAATCCCTACATAAGCCGAGAAAATCACTCGGGCAAATGGGCAATGGGATGCAGAGAAGGATTTGCACAGTATCCACTCACCTGTAGATTTAGTAATCATTACCTTGATCCATCCCACTATAAATAGAGAAGACCTCTTTCATTTGCGGGATTGGCTAATTTCACTCTAGAATAGCTTACTCTCTTTCTCTCTCTCTCTCTCTCTCTCTCTCTCTCTCTCTCTCTCTCTCTCCCTCCCTTGTATTCTCTAAGCTGTAACTCAGCTCGTTTAATGTGACCCAATCTTATTCATTAATACAATATCAGTGGACGTAAGATTCGCTTCTAAGCATCCGAACCACTTTAAACATTACTTCTCACCTTTTATTTAACTGAACATTACCATATCACGTGTGACTTCTAAGTCCGCTTAGCATTTCTCACGTGCAAAGAGTTGGTGTCAAAATCGAGCATCAACAGCAATCTTTTTGTATTATCAATAGGGATTCAAATTTGCTCTTGCCAACCAAGAGGGATTCAAATTTGCTCTTGCATCATTCATCAGTTTACTTTTTATTTTTTTTCACTTTGCAGGATTTATTGGGAAGAATATATATTTTGAGCCTGATCTCAGTAGTGTCAATATTTTTCATGAATGTGTATGCTGAGAATACATTTAATGTTTTAGATTATGGAGCAAATGGTGATGGAAACTCAAATGGTTCCTTGTGTAACAAATCCCACATTGAAAGTGTATTGGGGAGGTCTTGGGCTTATAAATGGGAGGAGTCCCTCCACCTAATATGTTAGCCTTTTGGGTGTGAAACTCCTAGCCCGTTACAAGTGGTATCAGAGCGGACCCAATTCGTCTTTCGATGTCCCGTCAAGCGCCCACGCAGGGGCGTCCACGTGTGATTGTGGGTCCACACGAGAGTGAGGTGGATGGGCAGGCAGGGGGCCCCATCTGTGACGAGGGCGTCACAGGATTGGGTGGGGGAGAATGTAACAAATCCCACATTGAAAGCGTATTGGGGAGGTCTTGGGCTTATAAATGGGAGGAGTCCCTCCACCTAAGAGGTTAGCCTTTTGGGTGTGAAACTCCTAGCCCGTTACACTTGGTAATGACATCTTCATCTTTTTTTTTTAATCTAAGCTGAAAATGGTTTTAACAGTTTTGAATTATAGGCATTTGAGAAAGCTTGGGACGAAACCTGCAATGCAACGGAAGGCACACCAACCATGATTATTCCAAAGGGAAAGACATTTCTGGTGTATCCCATGACCTTCGCTGGCCCTTGCAAATCCAATAACATCAACATCCGAGTACGCAAGAAACAGTAGATTTTTATTACTAATGATAATTAAAAAAAAAAAAAAAAAAAAAGAACCTCAAATTGATGTATTGTTCCTGTAGCTGTCAGGAATAGTGAAGGCTCCAGATGATCTTCATGCATGGCAAGCATCTGAGAGGGGAAAATGGCTGGTTTTTAATGGCATTTCAGGGCTAAATATCAGTGGCTTTGGCCTCATTGATGGAAGTGGAAAGAGGTGGTGGGATAATTCATGCAAACTTAAACCCATAGAGGTATATATATAAATTATAAATATATGCGTTAATTCTCTAGTAAGGATGTCTTGATGGATCTAATATAATTTATATTAGGACGTCTTGGCCAGTGGTCTACTTTACCTATATAAATCAAACTCATGCATTCTTAAGATTTTATAATTTTTTTCTGCACTAATTTTCCATATATTGTTATATTTTGCAGGGCTGTACAACACTGGCACCTACAGTAAGTCAATGAGTGATTATTTTGTATCAAAATCTTTTTGCAGCCATAGATATATACGAAGCTGATGCAAGTTTTTCCACGTTCTTTTTACAGGCAGTGGGTTTTAGACATTGTAGTGATGTGCATATGGCCGGAATTTATGTTGTGTGGAGTCCTTAAACCCATATACTTGCAACTGATTGTGAAAATGTCAGCTTCAAATCCTTGGTGATAAGATATCCTGTAACAAGCCCTAACACTGATGGAATTCACATTTCAAATTTCCGGAATGTATATGTCCAATCCTCGATTATTGGCACTAGTAAAATGTTCATTTCTTAAAATTATTCTTGCAATCCTCAGCATTACCTTCCTTTTTTATTTTGTTTTCTTTTTTTCTTTTTTCTAAATGTTAAAACATGGGGGATGATTGCATCTCGATTGGTGATTATGTTTCAAAGATTAAAGTTAGCTATGTAAATTGTGGACCTGGTCATGGTATAAGGTAAGTGCCACAAGTATTAATGATATATATCTAGAATTTTGAGCAAATTTTGTTAATTGCTACATTGGAGGGTAGCATTGGAAGCTTAGGTAGAGATGGAAATGAAGTACAAGTAGAAAACATCATTGTGAGAAATGTTTCATTCTACAAGACTACCAATGGAGCCCGGATCAAGACTTGGCAAGTATGATTCTTTCACTATATATAATATTCTTGAAAGCCTATTTCTTTTACATTCATGTGTTAACAGTGATTATCAATAAGATAACGATTATGAATAATCAAGGTAAATTCGATCAGGAGAGCTGCAGAAATTATGCAGTGTTATAAAACATAAGAAGGAAATTAAACCAACTATATATTCAAGTGTAAAATCTATATATACTTCTACAACGAATTATGTGACTGAACTACCTCTGGATGGTTGAGTGGTTCAATAGGGATTTTGGGTGTATTACTTATGAAGTCCTGAGTTTGAGTCTCTTTTTGGTTGTTCATATGTATAGCCACTAGAACTCTTACTTGACTGATAGTTTCAGGGTCTCGAGGGATTAGTTGATGTGCACGTAAGTTAGCTTAGACACCCCCGGTTATCCAAAAAAAAAAGAATTATGTGACTTGGTTAGTTTTTTTACGAATTGAATTGAATTATTAGGTTGGGAGAGGTGAGGTTTGAAATGTTAAGTTCTCACATCTAACGTTTGTAAAAGTGGAGAATCCGATAATCATTTACCAATTCTGTTGTGATGTCAAAGGTGCTTGTAACAGCACAGTAAGAGAAATAAACTCTTTGATCTTAATCTGTTCTATGCCATTAATCATTCTAAAACTGATATAGTTTATCTTTTATATATGTGATAAGAAAACTGGAGTTCATATAAGCAGTGTGCGATTCTCCCATTCGACTAAGACATCCACCACCGTGGTGGCCATCAATCTTAGTTGCAACAGTAATGTTCCTTGTACCAACATCAACTTTGAGGATATTCGATTGAAATTAGACACTAAAGGAAAACATCTCGTTTCTAGCTGCAACAATGCTTATGGACACAATTTAGGAATTGTAGAGCCAAGATCATGTCTCTGATTATTTTATCAACAACAATTGAACACATTCTTCTTCTTACATGCTTGTATGCTATCATGTAAACTGTATCAATTAACAAGCTAATCTAATTTTTCCTACTTGTAAGTGAAGTAAACGAATTTTTCCCACCCAAGGTTTGCCTTAATGACACTTTCCCACCCAAAGTTAATATTCTATTACCACCCAAAGCTGGTTCTAACAGTGAAAAATCTTTTCATCACCATCATTTGAACCCCCTGTTGCCTCTACAAAACCCCTCTCACTCCGGTACCTGATTTCTTGTTGATTTTTTATCACTGCAAAGTTAGGGTTTCCTGTTCTTAAATAATTTATGATGGCAAATATTCAATCGGTCACTACCATTCAATCCACCAGCCTCCCCTCTACAAAAACACTCTTATCCTGGCTCTTGGTAACTCGTTGAATGCCGACTAAGAAAGTGAAGTATATTTTAAGTATTAACAAAATATAAACATTAGGTGGTTAAGTGGTATTTTGAACTTCTTTGGATGAGAAACGTCATTAAGGCAAACCTTGGGCAAGAAAAAGTCGTTTACTCTTGTGAGTCAAAATCAAACAATTCTTGACAATGACTCCTTTGATAATCACTTATCGGCGAACGAATTGCTCTTCACAATTTAAAATTGTAAAGGAATGCCTTCTTTTTTTTGTAGTGCAATTACTGAACGAGAAACGCCAAAATAATCTTAGATACAATATTACAATGATTTACAATTTGTTCAGAAACATGCACATATGAGTAGTATAAAAATATGATATTAGAGGCAACCAATGATATAGCCATAAATGAAATGTAGAGAGGTTAAAGTTGGAAAAACAATACAATTTTAAATTAAATTAAGTAAAATTTTTGTATTTATAAAATTCTCATTAATTAATACATTTATAATTGTCTTCGACAAGATTTCATCTTTTGAAAGTATTGTATAATGACTTCATTGTCAATACTATCAAATCTATCTTTCTCTATATACAAAACTAAGCCATTATTTAATCATTGATCACTCATTCGATTTCACAAACAATTCTTCACAAAATTCATTATTGAAAATGCTCTTTCTACACTCACAGTGGCAACGAGTAAAATCAATACTAATTTCATCAACAAATAAACTAATGGAAACACTCTATGCTTCTTAGTTTCAACCATCATTTTTTGCAAGATCTTCAATCCCTTTTGATCCCATTAATTTGACTTTAGAGTACATATCCAAAATGTAAACATCCAGGAGAGAATCAAGTGCCATGAGTTCTAAGTCAGAAAAATCTTTTGGATAAAGTTCGGCAAGACACATCACTTTTTGTTTATCAAAAACAACAAATGATTCATTTGAACATAAATATGTCAAACAAATAAGCAATTTAGTGTTTACCTCATTGAAACGATTATTTAACTCTTGAAGCTACATGTCTAGAACATTGTAAAAAGATGGGTACAACTTGTGGTCCCAATGAGAGCTTCATCTTCGTAATCCACATCTATAATTTAACTTTAAATTTTCAAAATAAAAGAATACAAATATAAAATGTATTAGTATTATGTGTCAAATTGAAAAAAAAAAAATGGGTTTGTCGGCTTGATAGTATAGAGGTTCAAAGACCCGTGTACAGTGTGGCTGAAATCCTCAAAGAATATTGAGGCTATCGGTTTCATTATATAGAATGTATTTACAATAGGAAAGTCCTATATAAAAGGAAACATATTAACAGAATATATGCAGTTGAGATTATCCTATAAACTAGGCAAGAAAAGATAAGTACAAGATAAAATCATCTAAGATCAAGGGAAGAATCCGAAGAGGATTCTTCCTTATCACCCCCCTTCAAGCTGAGCATGGCAGAAGGAATCACGTGAAGTTTGTTATGGAAAAGTAGAAACTGAGGGTTGGTGACTTCCTTGGTAAATGAATCAACAAGCTGAAGATGTGAGGGAACAAAGGCGACTTTTAGAGAACCATTGGCAATTAATTCACGAACAAAATGGTTGTCAATTGCAATATGTTTAGAGCGAGGTCGAGTGACAAGATTGACTACCATAAAAATAGCACTCTTGTTGCCGCATATTTTTTTTGGAGGAAAAGACATTTGAAGATGTAGATCACGGAGTAGTTGAACAATCCAAGCAACTTCAGCGGTAGCAACGGCTAAGGATCTATACTTAGCTTTGGCACTGGAGCGAGAAACAGTGGATTGTTTCTTGGATCACCAAGAAACAAGATTAGCACCTAAGAAGATAACATAGCCGATGGTAGACAGACGTGTATCAAGACAACCCATCCAATCAACATCAGAATAAGCAAGCAACTGACGGGAGGAGGTGTGATAGAGTTGTAGACCATGATGGACTGTGCCTTTAACATAACGCAATATGTGTTTGAGTGCACAAAAGTGATCTTCAGTTGGAGCATGCATGTACTGGCAAATGGAATTGACACTGAATAAGAGATCAGGCCGAGTAATTGTCAAATATTGTAGAGCTCCAGCAAGAGACCGAAAAAGGGTGGGATCTGAGAAGAGCTTCCCTTCGGTAGAGAGATGATGTCCAACTACAAAGGGAGTGGTAATGGGTTTGACAGCAACCATGTCAGCACGCTGTAATAGATCAATAGCATACTTGGTTTGGCTAAGAAATAAGCCTTGAGAATTAGGTTGAACTTCAACACTAAGGAAATAGTGTAGAGAACCCAAATCTTTCATATCAAATTCGGTGGACAACCGTGTAATAAGAGTCTTGATCAAAGCGGGATTGTTGCCAGTAAACACCATGTCATCGACATAGAGCAAGAGATAAACCGTGCATGTCATGGTGTGATGAACAAATAGAGAAGAGTTAGCCTGACTGAGACAAAAACCTAGTTTCTGCAAAAAGGAGTCAAAGCGTTGGAACCAAGCACGAGGGGCTTGTTTTAGTCCATAAAGAGCACGCTTCAAACGACACACATGTTGAGGAAATTGTGGATCGGTGTAGCCAGGTGGTTGATCCATGTATAATTCTTTAGAAATATGATGATGGAGAAAGGCATTCTTAACATCTAATTGATGTAAGGGCCATCCAAAAGTGACTGCACTGGATAGAATAATCCGAATAGTAGTAGGGCGCACCACAAGACTGAACATATCTTCAAAATCAAGTCTATGAATCTGAGAGTAGTCCTTGGCCACAAGGCGAGCCTTATGGCGTTCAATGGAACCATCAGCATGAAGTTTGGTCTTAAAGATCCAACGACAACCAACCACATTTTGGTTCCGAGGGCCAGGTACAACAGCCCAAGTATCATTTTTCTTCAAAGCTTGTATTTCATCATCCATAGCCGAGAGCCATTCAGGGTGTTTGGCAGCAGACTTGAAACCCCGAGGCTCTTTTAGGGCAAGCAGAGCCTAAAAAAACTGAGAGGAAGGTGAGATCTCTAATTCATGATAAGCCTTAGGTTTAAATATACCAGTTTTTCCTCTAGGAACCATTGAGTGAGTGTTGGTAGAGGTCCTCGATATGGAAACAGGCGGTGTGGGCAAACTTGGAGAAGGGACGGGAGACACTTCAGGAGATGTTCGAGGGAAAGATTCACCAAGACCATCATTGCATGGCAAACAAACAGAATCTAACAGAGGAGAAGATAACAACAAATCCTTAGAAGTCGGAGACACATTATTACTAGACTCCAAAAAATCAGAGAAAATAATATAAGGTGTTGAGTTGGGAAGTTGTTGTGTATCATCACCCGCATAAGGAAAGATAGTTTCAGAAAACTGGATATGTCGAGAGACATGTAGACGTTGTGTCTTACGGTCAAAATAGCGAAAACCCTTGTGAAGGGGGCTATAACCTAAAAAGACACAAGGAGATGATTTGGGAGATAATTTGTTAGGAGCATAATCTCGCAAATAAAGAAAGCATAAACATCCAAAGGTGCGAAGCATAGAGTAGTCAAGTTGTTTACCAAACAAAAGCTCATAGGGAGTTTTGCCATCAAGAGTTTGTGAGGGGAGTCGGTTGATGAGATAAACAGCTATTGAGAAAGCCTCAACCCAAAAAGGCAACAGAACACGAGCATGAAACATAATGGTGAGACCCGTTTTAGTAACATGTTAGTGTTTACTTTCAGCAATCCCATTTTGACTCGGTGTATACGGGCAAGCAATACGCAACACAATACCACAAGATGTGAGGTGCGAACGAAATTTATTATTTGTAAATTCAGTTCCACCATCACATTGAAAAGACTTAATTTTGGAAGAAAATTGAGTCTCAATATAACGTTGAAAATTGACAAATGTATCAAAAAAATCAGATTTGTGTTTTAATGGAAAAAAACCAAGTTTATCGGGTTCAATCATCAATTAACACATCATAATATCGAAAACCAGTAGTGGAGCAAACAGGTGAAGGGCCCCATAAATCACAGTGTAAGCGATCAAATGGTAAAAGACAATGTTTGTTAGTAAGTGAAAAGGGTAAACGATGGCTCTTGCCAAGGTTACAACCAACACATAAACTTGAATCTAAACCCAACAACTTACTATTATAGGATAGGAAATAATACCAGACTTAGAAAGAGAGTCAATAGTACGAAAACTTGGGTGGCCTAGACGAGCATGCCACAAGTGGACAGAGGCACGCAGCTTATTGGAAGGAATAACGGAAGCAAAGGCATGATGATTTTGATCAAGCACGTACAGGCCATTCTCACATTTGCCAACCCCCAGCACTACTCTTGTGACTGGATCCCGTATGGTAAAACCAGAAGGGGAAAAGGTTACACAATAGTTATTATCTTTTGTAAGTTGACTGATGGAAATAAGGTTTTTCTTAATGCCAGGAACAACTAAAACATTGGATAAAATGAGTGAGCTTTTGGGAATAAGAGTAGAGACGGAACCAATGTGAGAAATAGGCAGAGACTAACCATTACCAACCATTACCCTTTCATTACTAAAGTAGACAGCAAGAACATCCATACCCTCGGGATTATGTGTCATGT